AAAGGGATGTTGGGACGTTGCTGAGGCTAGAGTAAACAATGATAGACAGCTTATGGAATATTTGGTTAGTATATCATTTATTTACTTAATATTATTTTTTGCGTAATGACTGCCTTATAATGGCATAATGTGCATCATGTGCTGTGCATGTGCATCCCTTGGAGACTGTATGAAATAGAAAAGCTTTATTTTTTGAACTATGTCCTTTAGAGTTTGTACTGAATATTACTACCATTTTATTAATGCTTATATGATCTGGCTTTGATTGGCAATTTTATAATACAAAAAGATTATGAGCTAACCTTATATTTATAGGGATACAAGATTCCTAATTCTAATTTAACTGTGAAACAAATCATAATAATTACTAATCACCAAGTAATATGAAAACTAGAGTTGAGACTTGAGAGACACTCTTAGATAAGAAACTAGTCTTATGAGATAATATTCTAAATTATTATAAGATATTTTATATATTCTAACAATAACAATAAAAAAATTAGGAGATTACATGAGAAAAAAAAATTATCAATGAACAAAAATTGTGCATTAGCTATAGTAGGACCAAATATAAGTTGAAGTACTTTTTTTGTTGATTTTCCAGAGCAGTAATTATCAAATTTTTCTTGTCAGATTCTTAGCCCTGCTAGCAACGGATATATTTAAAATATGTATATGCTATTATCTAATAGTTTTATATGTTCAAGGTTTATTTGGCAATGGAAGCTGGTTACATGGAAAAAGTTGATGAACTGTGTGAACGGTACTCCCTAGACAGATTTTTGAATATTAAAGGTAAGGCAGTTTCTTGTGACTAACAAAAATTCATGAAGAAAGGAAATATTGTAGTATAATGAACACATTGTCTCGCTAAAATTGTTGGTTGCTTATTCGTCTTTTGCCTCAAAAGTTGTGTTTCTTTTCAGTCATTTTCCTTTCTTACTCTTGAATTGTGAAGGATTTACTCCTGTTTGTTACTGCACTTTTAGCAGCTTACATGCGTTGGTGTTGTTAGTTGTTACCATTTGATATTATTGCTTAATTTTTATGGAGTGTCTGTTTTCTGTAACTTCATTCTCAGATGATGAACACAGTACTGTTTTTGTCCTGCAGAGCTTGAAACCAGTATCCCACAAGGACGCTATTTACAGCGTGAGGAATTGATGATTGAAGACATTATTTGGGTCGATGAAGCTGAAAGTTTGCTTGATGCAACATGTCAGATTGAGGATGCTAAAGTCATAGGTCTTGATTGTGAGTGGAAGCCTAATTATGTAAAAGGCAGCAAGCCAAACAAGGTAAATTAAAACGATCTTTGCAGGATATTAATGCTTCTCCATCTATGAAGCCCCCAATACATTATTCAATATGAGTGCTACGGGGATACCGAAAACTTAGAACAAAGTAAAATTACGACGCAGTTTAAATATGTTTGCTCACACTTACAATCTTGCATCTATGCATGCATAACACATTAATACTCACATGTGTGCGTTAATGTATCTATGAATAAACTAAATGCACAATTATCTTGATAGCTAAACTATCAAGATTCCACAGTCTAGATATATGTTAACAAGAGCTTTGTTCTTGATCCATTTCACTTCATCACCACCAAGAAGAACAAAGGAAGTTGTGTCAACGTTGGAGAGAGGTGATAGTCCTATCCTCAGCTTGGAATCCATATCTAAGAAGTATTAGGTTGGACAAAACTATATGAAAAGAATAATAGAATACTTCCTGGCTATCAAAAACATATTCGTGCCATGTATTTTTTCTATGCTTACTTAAACTGTATAGATTTATGTCTTAACCTTTCGAGCTATGACATGTTTCTCATATAAAAACTGAACTCTTGATTCTCCTGTTATATTCCTTTTCTCCTAAAATTTCTATGTTTCAGGTTTCTATCATGCAAATTGCTTCTGAAAAGAAGGCCTTCATACTTGATTTGATAAAGTTACACAAAGAGGTGCCTGAATGTTTAGACAACTGTCTAACCCGCATTTTGCTGTCACCTGGAATTCTAAAACTTGGTATGGAAATTTTAAATTCATTAGTGTCATCTTTATACCAGCAATTTTTTTGGTGAACGGTGCATCAACTTAACTTTTGAGGGATGTCTATGTTTACCTGAATAACAATGTTATTGATGGGATTCAATAACACATATCTTACGCTTTATTGATGGGAACGGTGCATCAACTTAACTTGGTGTTTCTTTGTAACTTTTTAGGTCTGAATTAACAAACACTCGTACGACATATGTGAGACAAGTGTCCGAAAAAAACTTTTTTCGTTGCTTCGATACACCTTAGAAACTCCTTGGACTCATCTCAGACACTTCTAGGGGGTTAAAGATGTGTAGAAGCAATTGTTATCAAAGAAACTGTTTAAGACATTAAATTGATTAAATCTTTTTTTTTATTTTTTATTTGGTATAGTTGATGGATGAGTATAGATGAAAAACTATCGTATTTTATTTAAGAACATTTTTGTAACGAAACAAATTGCTCAATTTAAATGCACATATGTATTTTAATTTTTAGTTGAGATCAGTTCTAGAAAATGTTCATATTTTATTTAACTATAATATATATAAATAAATATGTATAGATGTCGGTGTACTATATTTTTAAGTTAGCAGTGTCAGCGTGTCTGTGTCCGTGTCGGAGTTAGTGCTGCATAGCTTGGTATGCATCAGAAAATATCAAACACATATCCCTTATGCGTATGTACGGAGTTTCAGAGTTAGTGCTGCATAGCTTGGTATGCATCGGAAAATATCAAACACATATCCCTTAAGCATATGTATTAGTCTGTGTCGACCAGGATTTGTTCCCTTAAATAATCCTTGGATCTATTTTCAGGGTATTGGTAACCATTTTCAAGATTTGATCCCTTAAACATATAGTCCTGAGTTAATTCCTTAAACATATAATCCCGTGCCTCTCTCATATTATCATATACTGTGGAAGGATACTCTAGGTCACAAAAAACATTAGCAACCATTGCTTTCTCCATGGCATCTATTTCAGGGTATAATTTCCAATGTGATATAAAACAACTTGCTCACTCATATGAAGAGCTGAAATGTTTCAAGAACTATAAAAGGTTGCTAGACATCCAGAAAATTTTTAAAGATCCCCATGGCGGTTTGGCTGGGCTTGCACAGGTACCATTTATGAATGTCCATTTAATGTTTCATGCCATATTCTTTTTAGATCTTATATTTGTAGTTGGGTGATGATCAAAGCCATCGTTTTTCTGTGTGAGCATATTAATTTGTATTTTTATTGGTAAATCAGAAAGTACTGGGCGCTGGTTTAAACAAGACAAGACGAAACAGCGATTGGGAGCAGCGACCTTTAACTCCAAATCAAGTAATTGATCCCCCCACCCCCTTTCTTGCTGTTCATAATGCTCTTTGACTTCATAAAACTTCTCTGTCAATTCTATTTCAAAATTTGCTTCGGGGCCTTGAGATTTATTTTTTTTATAATTCTTATTTTGCTGCGTCTCAATCCGTACTCACTGTTTCCTTGATATATTTATGTTGGGGTGGATGAGGAGTCTGCTGAGGTTTAAAATTTTCATAATATTATACTGTGAAAATTGAGTTTATTCTTTTGAGGTATTAAATAGTTGAGTGATAGGTATATAAAAGTTTCACATGACAAGTCACCTGAAATTCAAAGTGAGATACTAGGTAGAGTTTTCTTTTTTTGACATTTTATCATATCTCACTATAATGGTACGATGTAATATTGTTTTCTAAAGTAAACACTTACATGATAAGATATGATTGATTGCTATCGTAAGGTGCAAAAAGTTAAAAGTTCACACCTAAGTTCATTTAACTTCCTGATAGTGGTTTAATGCTCCAAATTATGCTTGTATATATATGATTTCTAAAGAAACTCTTCAGTATGTCTAACTCAATCTGTTCGAACCAAGACATTCAATAATAATCTAACACTGTTTTATATGTACAGCTGGAATATGCTGCCCTGGATGCTGTTGTACTTGTTCACATATTCCGCCAACTTCCTGATCAAGGAGATGAGTGGAAGTCTTGCATCGTGAGTGACGATTCCACCACCTTTTTATCAGCGCAAATTTTATTTCTCTTCATTCTGTCATTTTCTCTATGCTTTTAGTAGCTTTTCATTATTTTTGCCCGGGCATAACATTAAATCCTTAGTAAATATTTACATTTACCTAGCATTAGAATAATCTCAATTTGCATGCCTAATTAATTATCTGTTTAAACTGCTGCCCAGGAGTCCCACATGGAAAACACCAAGATCAAGACCAAGAAGTACAAGAAACGTACCAAAACTTGAAGGAGAGCGTCTTTTTCCACCCTAATTTTCTAAGGGTGGAAAACTAAGCTTCCATATGAAAGAGGCCGTGATTGAGGCCAAGAAGTGATGATCGTCTAACATGTAATTAATTGAATTTGTATAAGTATGATAGAATCTTTCAAATACATAAAAAGAATTTGTTATGAAATGTAAATATTTCCTGTCCAGATTTCATCGAATATTATCTTTGATTTTCTTTTTTCTCCAAATGGCAGTTTTTTTTCTTCTTTTAATTTCGTTGACAGGAAATGCCTGTTTAGAATGTGACAATTTTGACATTCTATATTTATAGTTGCTATTATGGTTAGTTAGATTGAATCCCAAAATAAACAGTACTATATAGAATGCAGCTGAGATATGAGAATGATGAGCTTGGCAAAATTCAGACTTTACATATCCTCTCCCACTCTTATTGCAACAACGCATACCATTTTCCCTTATTCACCTCTCCTTCCCTTTTTACCAAAAATAATGAGTAAAGTTGCATATATAATATTCTTTCAAACGCTACATAATTCTTTAGATTCATCTCTTAAAGTCCTCTCTTACCTTCTCTTTAAGAGGAGAAAGAGAGGTATATAATCCAACATCAGATTTATATACACAAAAAAAGAGGTATATAAAATCAAAGAGATGGAAGCAACCAGGCGTCATCGACCTCGATCATTTTCTGGAGCTTCAGGTTTGCATAATCAGCACGATAAGCGTGTGGGCATCTTACCCAAGAAGGAAGTACAAACAGCAAGGAGCCGGGACAAGACCTCTCCGCGTTATTATTATGTTCCTTCTCCTCCACATGATTGGCACACAAAGGCAGCGAGAAAGGCACCTTCCCAGTCTTCGTGGTGGAATGACAGGGATTTGAGTAGAAAACGTAGGGTGGCCAAATACAAGCTTTATGCAGTTCCAGATAAACTCAAGGCTTCTCTCCAAAAGGGATTTCATCATTTGAAGATGACATGCATGAAGATTCTAGCTTAATGTGTGGGACGTAACGTGTCTGTTTTATCTTAGATTAGGGATATCATAGATCCTTAATTCATGCGTTTTTGTGAGAGTTTGATTTTTTGGTAAGAAACAAGATTTTCTTCCTGTTCAGTCTCCCACTTTTTTTGTACACGCTTAAATTTTATATCAAACCTGGAAATAAATATTGTCTTATCGAGCACCTTATTTTGTTAAAATCAAACAAGAGCATAAGCTATCTCTGGTTGCCAGAAGATATAATGAGTGATAAATAAATCGAGAGAGAATGTGAAAAACTATGGTCTTGATTAGCTCAATTTGAAGATATCCATGGAGAGAGATAGTTAAAATACGTGGGGAGTTTCTTGAAGATTAGCTAGGTGAAATGGAGGATGCATGTAAAAAAGTGAGGGGGGATTGGAGGCTGAAGAAGGAAGGGGCGTAATGAATGGCTTCTTTATGATGGAGGGACATTTGCAATATTGATAAACCGATGGCATTGTAGGGAATTCTTTTTAAAGGGAGGGAGATACTAATCTAAAAATTTACATAAAATTTAGGTTTATAATTTTTTTCTCTCTATTTATTTTCATTTTAAATTTTTAGGATTTTAGTCTCTCATCTCATCTAAATATCATTTTAAATTAGTGGTGCTCATGTTCGAAGTGTCATAATTAAACTTAGATGTCATTATTTATAATTATACAACATTTCTTTAATATTTTGTTTTAATATTACAGTGAATTAAGAATTTTGAGATAACACTCAAACATCTATCATTTTAAGATTTTGCTCATAGAGAAATTCTTCAAGGAATGTAAAAATGCTTCTTCTTATTGATCTCCTGAATTGATGTCCCAACAGTTATATTATAAGTTTTTGGTGTGTTTCTCATAAAAAGTATCGTTCATAAAGAAAACCTCCAACAAAAAATGTGTTGTCGTGTTAACCCCCAAAGAATTGATGACACAACAACACAAAAGAACAATTTGTATTATTCAAACAAAAATTCTAAATTAAAACGCATATTGACTTCAGGTCATTTTTAAGAGTGTGCAAAATAGACTACTGCTCTAGTTTTAATATTTATTGCAATTAAACATTAAGTAAATAGGATCTCATAAAATATTTGTCACAATTAAACTGTGGTTAAATACGACCTCTATTTATTTTATTATAGACAAATTTACATAAAATTTCTAAATACATGTGATCACTAAGACTGACTCAATTGAAATGCATATTGACCCAAAACTTTGCTAATCATTAAGCAATTTTTCAAACGAAACCTAAAACCATAAATCAAAACACATTGACCCAAGCTTCAATTCTCCACCTTATTTTCATCTTCGTGAAAACGTTAACAACACATCACCGTGTTCTTCATCTTCAACAATGAGTAACTCGTAGTATGTTACGAGGTATGTCATTCTTCATCTTTTACGAAACTATTTTCTTCATTTCCTTCTTTTGAGACACAATGTTGTGTGATTTTCTGAGATGACATGAAATGTTAGCTTATTTAAAATGCTCGTGGGACCTTATTATTTTATTTGCTTATGTTTTACATGTGTGGTTCCATGTTTTGAAATATTAGCTTTTGTTGTATTGAACCATGCAAATATAATCACGGATGACAAGTCAATTACACATCATTTATTAACTTGAATTTAGTTAGATATTTGTTAATTGGTAATTAGAAGTTAGTTACACACTTAGAGATTCAATATAGTGTGCCAAGGTACAGATTTCTTATGGTGCAAGTAACTATACATGTATAAATATCATAGCTTGTAACTTCTTCTTCTTAAATGAGAATTTCCCTTTACAATGTTCATCTTGATTTATTAATATGGTATCAAGCCCTAATCAATGAACAAACTTCATTTTCTCATTCAATCTTCACTTTGCAATCGATAGTTCTTCACGCTTCTTCCACATTTTCATTGATTTTTCTCATTACATTGCATCTCCACCACCATTGTTGATGTTATGTTGATTTTCTTGCTTCTGTTTCTTTTCCTTTTTTTCATTATCTTCCTCGTCGATCCAACACGCCTCCGCGTTTAACACCTAATTCTCAAATTAATCTTGATTCAATCTATTACATTCATACGAGTGAAGGTCCCAATTATGTCACCATTACTCCCAAGCTCGATGGTTCTAACTACAATACATGAAACAGATCCATGAAACATGCATTGGGTGCCAAGAACAAACCGAAGCTCATTGATGGATCCACTAAAATTCTTAATGAAGATCATCTTAACTTTGATCAATGGCATCCCTGTAACCATCTTATTCTTTCTTGGATTATTAATTCGGTTAGTGAACAAATTGCTTCAACCATTATTTTCCATGAAAATGCTATTGATTCTTGGAATGACTTGCATGAACGATTTTTCAAGGCTAATCGTATTCAAGCTCTTACTCTGCGTGCTTCCATCAACAATCTGAAGCAAAACTCCAGATCTATTATGGAGTACTTTCTTGAGCTCAAAGGCTTTTGAGAAGAACTTAATTCTCAGAGACCTCTACCAATCTGCACTTATACTCATAGACGTTTAGTAATGCAGTGTGCAAAGCTCAAGAACACAGACTCGAGGAACAAGCTATCAAGTTCCTTACTATTTTAAATGACAATTTTTCTAATGTTAGGACTCAAGTCTTGATTATGGATCCATTACCATCCATAAATCAAATTTATTCTCTTGTGGTTCAAGAAGAGAGTCACCACAAGAATCTTACACCTGCTGATGATGTTTCCATATCCATAAAGGGTGCTCAAAGATCATATTTCAAGCATAAGGGTGGATTTGACAACTTCAAAAGTGCTCCTAGGGTGTGTACATTTTGCAATAGGACTGGTCACACAGTCGGTTTTTGCTATCAAAAGCATGACCACCCCAATTTTAACAAGAACAAATCATCTGTAAATGCAAGTCAAGTGGAGAATACTTCACTTGAAGTCACACCATATGCCCTTATTTCAAGCAATCACATGCCTATTTCCCAAGCTCAATATGATCAACTCATCAGCTTGCTTCAAAATTCAAACACTTCCACACCTGCCTCTACTTCCACAACTAATCAGGTTTCCACTAGTCAAATTCCAAATGATGAGTTTTCAGGTACTGTTTGTAACATTGCTTCTCATACAAGTAAACTTCCTTATACATGGATCTTATATTCTGGTGCCAATGTTCATGTATGTTCATCATTGCATTTATTTAGCTCATATTATCAAATTAAACATATAAAGATCACTCTTCCTGATGGCAATTGTACAATTGTTTAATATGCTGGTATTGTTAGCTTCACACCTGTCCTATATCTTAACCATGTTTTGTATGTACCAGACTTTAAACTAAACCGGATATCCATCTCATAATCGTGTCATAACTTGAAATGTTCTGCACAATTTTCTGTTGACCATTGTTTATCTCGGGAAATGAATACAATAAGGACTATTGGTTTAGGTAGCAAAGAGAATGGATTGTATATCTTGCAACTAGTGGACACTCATTATGAAGATTCTAGTTTACCTCACCAACTCACAAGCCTGACACAAGCCAATACATGTCATGCCAATGCTTCCTTTCCTTTACCACATATCCAAAACATTGTCACCCCTAAGTCAGCTTTATGGGATTTTCGTTTAGGATATGTATCTCCCAAGATAATAGCTTAGATGTCAAAAATATATTCATCTTTTGATTTTGATATTAATGTTACATGTGACATTTGCCATTTGGCCAAGAAAGAAAGTTGCCTTATCACTCAAGTAACTCTGTTGCTTCTCACAAATTTGAGCTTTTACACTTTGATATTTAGGGTCCCTTATCTACCCCATCTATACATAATCACAAATATTTTTTAACCATTTTAGATGACTGCACAAGATTAGTATGGGTTGTCCTCTTAAAATGTAAAGCTAAAGTATCCATACAGGTTCAAAACTTTATTTCCATGATCATTAACCAATTCCAAATTACACCTAAAATTGACAGGTCAGATAATGGACCTAAATTCATGCTAGATCAATTTTATGCATCCAAGGGCATTATGCATCACATATCATGTGTTGAAAACCCTCAACAAACTAGTCGGGTAGAAAGAAAACATCAACACCTATTGAGTGTAGGCATAGCTATTCTATACCTATCAAAATTACCAAACACCTACTGGTCATATGCCCTTCTATTTGCTACATTCATTATCAACAGAGTGCCAACACTTATCCTTCATGACAAATCACCCTACCAAATCTCGCACAACAAAATACCTGACCTTGCCACATTTAGAGTGTTTGGTTCTCTATGTCATGCTTCTACACTTCAAGCTCATAGAACAAAATTAGATCCTAGAGCAATAAAATCAATCTTCCTTGGCTATAAACCCGGTATGAAAGGATACTTATTACTTGACTTTCATACCATTAAAATAGTTGTGTCCAAAAATGTTATCTTTCATGAACATATCTTACCCTATCAACCTAAAAACCATACCTTAAACACTTCATGATCTTACTTCTATTTTAAAGTAGACAAACACTACACTGCCCAACCTACCACATAACCACCTGATGACATTATCCCTAACATCACACCTATAAATACACCTACATCACCTTAAAACCAACTTCCACATGCATATACACCACCCATTCCTCCCATCATTTATGACTAACCTATCATACCAACACCTATTTCCCCTGACCAGTCATCTAGAACACCAACCAATTATACTCATGACCCTCCACCTAGAACCCCTTATAGAATGAGACACGACCCCTCTTACTTGCAAGACTATATATGAAATTCTCTTACTACATCAAGCCTAGCTTCCAAAGGTATTCTTTATCCTATCTCTCGTTCTATTTCTCATGAATTCCTCTCATCTGCACGTTCTCATTATGCATTGTCATTAATTTCTAACATTGAACCTAAGACATATAATGAGGCATTCAAACATGAGTGTTGGAGACAAGCCATGCAGGTTAAACTTTCAGCACT